AGTTTTTTTCCATGTAGAGAGGTAAGAGCTTTGTGGTGCAGTGGTTGAATGCTTTCCCTGTACTCCACAGTGGCACGAATTTCACTAGTTGTGTGTTTTGGGGTGTACCAAGATACCAATGTTAATACCACCAAGTATATGTGAACTGAGACACACTGTACAGCAAAACAGATGAATTTTGTTATTAGGGCAATGTTTGAATACATTTTGCCATTCATCCAAGTAAGTAGGTTCTTCAGTTCTCTTTGGTAAAGGACTGGCTTATATAGTTGTACAAATCTTGAAACAAATACACCCCAACAACTTAAAGGGCCCATATTACACTATTTTCCAGAGGTGGGACCAAGTTGTCGTTTTGCAGGTCTCAAGTAAGTCTCAAGTCTTTGACCTCAAGTCCAAGTCGAGTCCCAAGTCAAATACAAGCAAGTCCAAGTCGAGTCTCGGGTCACTGGCCCATAAATCCAAGTGAAGTCCAAGTCATCTGCTTTGAGCTTCAAGTCATTTCAAGTTTTTAAACCAAAGTACCAGATTTTTTGCAATTTATATGACTTTTAAGATAAATTGTACTCATAAAGTATTTATACATGAGTATTTATGAGTATGTAAGAAATTATAATTTTTCCTTTTTAAATTTCTTGACAAGATCTTAGTGTGAATCATTACAGTCAGAATAGAAGAAATTCAGATTTAAAAGTGTTTCTCAAGTGTTCTCAAGTCACAGGCTTCAAGTCTGAGTCAAGTCCCAAGTCATTCACCTTCAAGTCCAAGTCAAGTCCCAAGTCTTAATCCACTTTATCAAGTCAAGTCTCAAGTCCTAAAAATAGTGACTCAAGTCTGACTCGAGTCCAAGTCACAACTTGTAAGTCCCCACCTCTAGTATTTTTTGCTCTATGTTATGATGTTTCCTCATCCCAGACATGACTAGGAGTTGCGTTTTCTTTCATTCACACATGTTTAACAAACACACAGTTCTTCTCTCAAATGAAAGACAGTCTGTTCCACCTTGTGATGTCATGTGGTATTACATGAAGTGCTCCACTGTGTTTATAAAATCTATACATCTTCACTAGAATCATAGGATAATTTCAAATCTGGAATTGCCAGTCTCTGCTGAACTAAACGTAAAAGGTAGCTGTTAACTTGAAAAGTACCTCTTCATAACATCACAGTGTGGAAGAGCATTTTGAGCTTTGGAGATGTAGACAGACTAATAATAAAGTGTTACTCAGTCCTGTGTGAATGAAACAAAACAGAATTTCAGGTATGTTTTTGAGGAGCTAACAATATTATAACATGACTAAAAGCTCACAGGAGTCAATTTTGTGTAATACAGGACCTTTAAACCAGTTGACAGAGGGATTACAGAGACATCTATTTTTATGCTCATTTAAAATACCTGTCTGTGTCATTTTGTCACCCCCAAACTATTCCATTTATTTCCATGGGATGTTGATGACGTCAGCTGCGAAGTATTAATAGAGTCTCATTCTTTGCTGAATTTGACCCAAGAGCTGAGATGAAAAGGAAAAGGCCAGTTCACAGCAGAAACAAGGAGAACTCAGCCTGCAGTTCACTGTGGGGAGTGACAGGAGGTCTACTGCTGACTCCACGGCAGAAGGGAACGCCTGTCAAGGAGCTGGCAGCTGGTTTTGTCGTCTTTCAAGTGGCAGATGCAAGACAACTAAAAGAACAATTGATACTTTGCAGCTGATCCACTATCCACCTTCCACTATTGCTGGGGGTGTGACGCTAACTGTAGACACTGCTCTGTCTGACGCTCTGTTACTTAAGTTAGACTTCAATCTGAGCTTTGTTTTGGCACAATCTGACCAGAAAGAGCTGAATTAACTGGAACTACAACAGGTGAGCTGATAATATTACAAGCTAATATTAGAACAGTTTTTCAGATAGTCGCTCTCCCTTTTTGTTAAAAGTCAAACTCTATAAACAGGACCATGGAGGCTTATCTTGATCAGAGGCACTTGAAAATGTGCTGTTTATATCCATTTTGTATTTTTTCTTGGGTTTCAGACTATTTTGAACCTTTTTTTGGCAGTGATTGCTGATGTGCGCATTGTGCCACCATGGTAACTAGTACCATTCTGTCATAGTCATACATACAGAACCCCTACAGCATGGTGTCACTACAACGTATCAATACTGGGGAAAAACGCAAATGCTAAATATATTAATTATCTTTGGTCAAAACTAAGTAAAACACAACATAGGGCTGTGCAATATGGTTAACAGTCGAATCATGATCTATGTGATTATATGTTTTTTGGTCAGACTGTCAGATTCTCACTTTAAGGCAGGTCTATGCTAGCCTGATTCATCAGACGGTTTTACTTAGAATTCATTCACTTGACAGTTGGTGGGTACTTTTTTTATTTAACCAATCGCTGCTATTTGGTCGTGACTTATGTAATGCGCTGCTAACGGGTCTAACTGGTATATTAAGCTTTTCCCAAATCCAGTAGGAAGAAGGGCAATAACGTCTTTCCTCTTGATAAAATTCACCAAACATTCTCTTTAAATCCTCTATCTTGGGAATCGTTGCCAACACAGATGACTCTTCGCTGACTGGTTGGTGCCTGAACTCGCACTTCTGGGGTTTTTGCAAAACGTCTAGTGCATTCTGATTCCTGACCTAGTCGCTGGAGAGAAATTAAATTGAGCAGAGGCACTAGGTGGCGCCAGCCTGGCTAGGTCTATGCTAAAACACAAACAATTTTGCCCATGCACTGCAATTGGTCAACCTCCCTAAGGCTCTAAGTGAGTGACAGGTGGAAATAACCAATCGTAGTGAAGTATGAACACTCAGAAAATGCAAATTTATTTACCATTTAAAGGAATTATAAAGACAGTAGCTTAACATTAAAATACAATCAGAATAATGATCTGGCTCAAAGAAAATCATGACATTTGTACTAAGGCATATCACTCACCTCTAGTGCAATAGCTTTACTGATATCATTACACAAGGGCCACAGCGGAGACCACCCAACAATATCGATCTGCCTACTGCATAAATGTATATAACTGAACTTTTACACCTTTATAACATGACATTACTTATTACTACATCCTGCATTTTTAGTCTTCTCAAACAACAAATCATACATGGTTCCAAGTGTAGTATTTTACAAAATTTGCAATTATTTTAATATATTTTTGATGACTGTTATTATTCAAGAATGGGATCAGCAAAAAGAGTAAAAAGAAATAGAAATAGTTCTCTTATTTTAGTCTGTGTAATCCTTAAGTAACACTATTTAATAACATCTTTTAATAGATCAGTTTTGTCGCCCATAGAGGGTAGTAAGCTGCCAAGAAGTTCTAATAGTTAATGACCGCAATATATTTAAACAGGAGCTGTTAGCAGGTTATTCTCCAGGGACAGCAGATGAAAAGTAGTCGTTTAGGCTAATTCTGATGCATTTACAGCGATGTTTATTCATGTTTATTGTCCCCGTTAAATAGACTAAAAAATAAAACAAATCTAAATGACTAATTTACGATCACTCTTCATTTATTTCCTATTGTTTGAAAAGGCAGTTTATCCATGGCACTTAAATAGGTCTTTCTTTTGACAGTGAACCAGATAGCTCGAAGCCAGACCACAGATTTACACATCCACTAAAAAAAATGACACTTCAAATTGTTGTTTTAGGTCCTTTGTATTTTGAGTTACACCTTACGCCGCGAGTGATGCTTACAACAGTGCAATAACAATGGAGCATTAATGAAAGACATGGTACAGGAGTCTATGGTTGTTCAAAGAGCAGCTTTCAAACATCTTCAAAGCCAGTGCCCAGATGGATGACCCAGAGCTAACACACACACACATACTCACACTCTCACACACACACACACACTCACACACACACAGGGCAAAAAGTCCCGGGACACTAGCCTAGAAATCGTCCCTAACCTTTCAGGTCCTCCGTCACTGCCGTATACTAATTACAGTTCAGCTCGCCGGAGTGTCTACAAGCCCAATCACCTTGAAGTGCCCCATTAGCACCTGCTGTAGTCATTTACACATGCTGACATCCCACCTTGTTGTTTAACCTTATATTAGTTTCCAGGACAGTATATTTAACTCTGCGCAACAAGGCAGGAAGGATGCTGCTAAGCTACAAAGAGACAGGGGAATATGGCGAAAAAGCTGACCAAGCTGTTTTTCAAAGTAGGGGCAATAAAATGGTGAAATATTGAGCCTGTTTGAAAGATGACATCATAATTAATACAAGGAATCAATAGTGTCAGTTTCCAAGTCTGATATTTCAGAGTCTAATACATTCATACTTATGGTGATGACCAGATTTTCGAAAGTAAAAACTAGGATGTACCCAAGTTGTGGTAGTTGGTAAGAAAATTGTGAAAAGAGTGCATAATTAATAAAATTATTAGACACTCAGTCCAGTTTCAACTCACTTTTCTGTTTTTTTGTTGTTGTTGGATATCAAATTGGTTAAAACTAGGAGCAACTAGGATCAATTCTTGTATAAAACTAGGACAAGTCATTGGTTTTGTGTAAATCTGCTGGGGCAGGGGACACAGGGTTCAAAACTGGGACTGTCCCAGGTAAATAGGGACGTCTGGTCAGCCTATTCATAGTTTAATACCTTTTAGGTAAAAGCTATAGATAACTTGGTAATGATTAATGTTTTGTTTTTCTGATTTAAGTATCAGAATATACAGGGTGGTACTAAATTTTGTGTCAGTCAGCCTCTGTTACATTGAGTTTCAAGTTCAGCAGACATAGCCTAATTTGTAATAAGTGCGCGCAAGACACGTGTCACTTAGGCTACAGAAACAATAACACAATAAACAATAACCTACACTCCATCTTTTTTCCATTTTTAGACGCAGGAAAAGAGCACAAGCAACAGGTGTCTCGTTACTGTCCCAATAAATAGCCCAATTAAAGCCACGACTGCACGCTCATCCGCAGTGAACAGGCTCAGATTTGTGAATGAAAAACCGCGTCTTACCTTCACCCGGACCGTGAGAAGGAGCAGCCCGAGCGTCCACAGCCAGCCTCCTGTCATCTCTGGCGCTCAGTGGAAGAGTGTAGATCCACGAGTGCGTGTAGTAGGCTTCCCTGTCGTCAGTTTCCCGCTGAGTAGCTCTGTGTCACCGCGGCGTGCTCCAGTCTCTCCTCTCCGTCTGTCTGCAGCTAATGCGCGAGGAGAGAAAGCACAGGGGATCCAAGCGCTGCTGCGAGAGACGACATGACACTCCACGACCGCTTCCAGATATTTTGTTCCACCAGCAAACACGTTGCTGCTAAATTTATGTTTGCATACCAGGCGTGCGTCAGGAAAGGGGGCTCACCCACCTTACATTCTTAAAGAAACACTGTCCAGCGGAGTTTACACGCGCTCCACGTACGTCGCGCATCTAAACACGTGCGTAATGGCATTCTGGCACTGGACGTGAGGACAGTTAACAGTGCACGGTATAATTAGCGTTAGCAAAAAAATGGTTTGTTATTTAGGTCAAAGAGTCATACTCTTACATAACACAGGACTGGTGGTATGCAGACAGATCTGAAGACTAAAACACTGCCAATATCATTGATGAAAATACAAATAAACAAATACATAGGCTTCTAACCAAAATGAGTGGCCATGATTTGTGAAAAATTTATTTTGACCCAATCAGAGACAAGAACAGAGCTTGCTCCAATTTTACCGCTCTATAAAAGGTTACGTGGCATGACAATATATGTCAAAAAGCACAGGAATCTGAAAATTAAACAGGCCAAGGGAAATAATCTACTCAGTATTTACTACAGGGTATCCAACGAAAAATACAACAGTGTGAGTTTCTACTAAAATGTCATAAACTTTGCCTGACACTGCCAAATTTAAGGCATCTAAGGTCAAGAGGAGTTTTATCTGACCAAAGCTTGAGAATTTAAGACACAGTGGACTGAGCCATTTAAAGTCTTGGCTTTGGCCGGCATTATTGAAGCGCACTGTTATTGCAGATTTACCTCAACAAGGCCCATGTCATTCCAACAGGCTCCAATGAAAACAGCTAAGCAGGGTCTGTGCTGTGTCTTCTGCCACTTTATGCCACTGGTTTGAAATGAAAGAAAATGGCTGCTTTGTTAGATTCTTTTAAAGGTTCTCAGCATCATATTTGTGGAAAAATATTAGCAGAAAATGACATGCTCCTCAGGTTTAACGCTGCAATTATAGAACCCAGACTGTGTTCACACTTTCACACACACTGCATCAAAAATGGGAGAAAAATGACACTAACCCAGAACGCAACTTGGAATTTCTAGGACTAAAGCAGGACTAGTGTAGCCTGATTCATCAGCCGGTTTCACTTTGTGGAAACGTCTGACCTCGCAGGATTAGAATTCGTTCGCTCGACAAAAGGTGAGTACTTTTTTTTATTTAACCAATCGCTGCTGTTTGGTAGTGATGTATGTAATGCGCTGCTAACAGGGCTAACTGGTATATTAAGCTTTTCCCAAATCCCGTAGGAAGAAGGACAATAACGTCTTTCCCCTTGATAAAATTCACCAAACACTGTCTTTGTTCCAGCTTTAAATCCTCAATCTTGGGAATTGTTGCCAACACTGAATGTATGGCTCTTCGCTGATTGGCTGTTGCCCGATCTCACACTTCTGGGGTTTTTGCGAACCATCTAGTGTATTCCGATTCCTGGCCTAGTCGCTGAAGAGAAATTAAATTGAGCGGAGACACTAGGTGGCACCAGCCTGGCTAGGACTAGAGCTGAACCAAGCCAAATCTACATCAACTGGGGCCAAACCTGGACAAAATTAGGTGAACTCAACAATTTTTATTACTCAAAATTGACTTGTGTGAGCTTTAAACCATGCTATAATGTTGTTACCGTATCAAAAACATACCTGGAGTTGTGTTTTGTTTCATTCACACATGTCTGAGTAACCATTTATTCTGCATTTTCCAAACCAAACGATTTTAGTGAAGTTGTATGGAGTTTAAAAACACAATGGAGCACTTCCTGTATTCCCATATGACATCACAAGGTACAACAGCATTTTCTCAGTCTAAATATGCAAGGTTTGTGTGTTGAACATGTGTGAATCAAACAAAACCAAATCCAAGTATGTTTTTGATAAAGAAATAGCATTATAACATACCGTAGGTCAGAGAATAGTATAATATGGGCTCTTCAATGCAGCAATTTCTATACCAACATTGACAAAATCTCTCAATATATGTCTCATTGGGATTACTCAACAAAATGTCATCTTCCATTAGAGAAATCACAAGTATACCCTTAACTTTAACTTAAGCTCATTAATCTTAACACTAATTGACACCTTCCACTTCATTAGAAAAGGAATGCTATGAATCGTACCATGCTTTCTCCTTTCGTCACATCATTAAACCATATACCATACATTTGGCTTTGAAGGCTCATAGCGCACAATCAGTGGGCATTAGCTAGGCACTTGTCACTTCTGAGACTGTCCAGGAGCGCTAATAATAATGTTTTTAAAGTGTCCTCTGGAGATACCCTCACAATGGTACAGGTATGTTTGGAATGAGCTACCTGAATGGCTGGCTGACACGCAGACTTGAATTCATCTTTATTAACGCACTGGAATGCAAAAGTGTTTATTTCCACAGACGAGAACAAAAATTAACAAGGACCAAAGCGCGGTGCCAGTGATTTACTTTCCATTTCCAAGGTTGAATTTGAAACTGTATAGAAGGTCAAGTATAGTTTCACTGGACCTCAGTATATAAGCTTAAAGGGCCCATATCTATGTTATTATGTTGTTTGCTCATGGAAAACATACCTGGAGTTGTGTTTGGTTTCATTAGCACAGAAATTCTGCATATTTAGGCTCTTCTCAAATCAGAAAACACTTCCTTCCACCTTGTGATGTCGTGATACAGGAAGTGCTCCACTGTGTTTTCAACAATACATCTTCACTAGAATCATTTGGATGATTTCAGCCTTGGAAGTGCCATTTTCTACTGAATTAAAGATAAAAGGTGGTTGTTAACTTGAAAACTATCACTTCATGACACTTCATGAGATCACAAAGACCATTTTGAGCTCTGGAGAGAGATAGACTTATAATAAAGGTTACTCCAGGGGTGTCCAAACTTTTTTCATCAAGGACCACATATCTAAACACAGATGAAGCAGAGGTCTGATCGAGGGCTGTAGACTGATGCTCAGTATAATGAATAATTGAAATATGTGCATTTTTAAACACATTACAATGAGCCATCTGTCTTTAATCATGCCAAGATCCTTAAAACCACACACTAAATATTAAATATGAGCTTTATCAAGGTAGATTTTTAAAAAAAAAACTTGCAGTGGAAAGTAAATTTTTAATTGGTACAAGGTAATTTGGGCCAATTCACCTGGAAGCCTGAAGGCCAAAAATATTGTCTGAGGGTCACATTTGGCCCACGAGCCATAGTTTGGACATGCCTGGGTTAATCAAACATGTGTGAATGAAACAAAACACAACTCCAGGTCTGTTTTGGAGGGTAACAGCATTATAACATGACTTAAAGTTCACAAGAGTCAATTGTCTGAAATATAGGACCTTTAATGCCATGATGGGTGCTTTAAAATCCACTGGTCAATAACACAACTGTAATGGAATAAGATTCAAGCTTACAGCCTATAGTTTGTTTGGGCCCTATTGGATTTTTTATTACTGTGAAATATGAGTTAGATTCAAATTTACCCCTGAACTAGATTTAACTTGTAGCTATTAACATATTTTAGTTGGCAAATTTCCATTTTTATTTCATCTAACCTGTTGCACTGTATAGCATCCATAGTTTTTATGATTCTAAATGACTCGATTAATACAGAGTTTACCCCTGGATTATATGAAGTTTAAGCCTAAATGACTATATGCATCTTTGCAATGCTTCCTGTAATATGTTTTATTTTATTTTTAAACCCAGGTTGCAGGTCAATAAAGCATAACATTATATTTGTCTTAGAAATCACTTTATTGACAGATATATTAAAAAAAATAACCTACTTGAGGACAAATGTATTTCTGGTTTAGAGTAGGGGTTAGGGGTTTTCTGGGTTGTCAAATGAGAGGGAAGCACTAACAGCAGACTTGTAGTTGTTTGAATCCAATGATCATCTGGGCGCTAACTGACACTCTAATAGCCCCCTTTTTAGAGCCACTAACTCTGCTGCCATAACCCGGGCGTCTCAAGTGCAGAGGGGGCCCATATACATACACTGTACTGTACATGTGTCAGTTACAAAGTCAAACATACCCCAGGCGTTTCAGTGCAGCCCTATGAGAGCGCTGGTTGTGTCCCTGCCTTAACTGACACCAAACTTCAGCTGTTTGATCAGTGATATTTGGCCTTTAAGAGTGAAAGCCGGGACTGTCACGTGCGTCCAAAGAGGAAGGCCATGGAATTTGCCACATAACAGCTAAAGCGGTGGTTCGTAAACTGTGGTGACACTGGTGGTGTATACGGCTCGGATTGAATTACCTGAGAAGCTGTGAGTTTGCTGAATTATAGTAAGTACAATTTAGGGGAACTTTTGCAGATATTTACAGGTAAGGACAATTCGCACAAGATTAGAGAGACAGATGACGTTAATAATTATTACAATTTATCAGGAGGCACTTTTGTGGCACTGAGAAGTAAATTTGCCTTAACTTTGATTCCCTTTGAGAGTACGAAGGATTTCTTGGTAACACTTTAGTTCAGGGACCACATATTAAGAGCTAACTAAGTGGTAATTGGTACGTTAATTAACTGTTACTTAGCTATTAGTTGATATTAATTAAACACTTTTCAAATTTCAGTGTGTGTACAAAAACATCTATTGTAATCTCCACTACTTTAATGGGAAGAAAATAGTTATTGGGTTAGTACTTGCAAAATTAGACAGAAATCCATTGAAAGTACTTTATAAATACTAACAAAGATGTAATTAAGCACTTATTATACATTTTACTATTAACTAGCTATTAATATGTGGTCCCTAATCTAAAGTGTTACTGATTTCTTTCAAAGTGACATCTTCTTAGTCCTGGTTGTGTTATTGTTTTTTGTTGAAGTCTTGATGCTTAACTGTCTTAGGCCTGGATAGTTTTACAAGGTTTGACCCAGTCCTGGTTTAATTCTTGTTTAGCCCTGCTTTATATCTTATCCATAGTCCTGTTTTAGTGTTTGTTTAGATCTAATGGTGTTTAGATTCTAACCAAGATCTCTTCTCTCAAATCACAATGTTCTTTTAGCTTTTAAAAGATGATATTCTGAATTGGCGTAAGAAGTAATAGTATCATACAGTGTAAAAGGCAAAGGTAAAAAGTCTTACATGTTAGTTGCAGTTGAACTTTACAGACATTTCTCAACTGTCCTTTATGCCAGTGTGATATTTGGCTCTTAATCCATGTGTGTGCATTGTACGTGATTGGGACTCCGAAGGGTGCTGCTATGACAAAAATGGCTGTCCCAAGAATGCCTGGCTTGCGAAGTGTACAGTAACCTGCCTGTCCATCAGAAGATACGTAACCGCGGTAACAGGGATCTGATTCTGTCAGCCAAGTTAAACTGTGAGGCAATGTCCAATACTCTGCAGCCAAGATGTAAGACATGACTTGTTTTACTTATGAAATGATACTGGTAAAATACTACAGTTTCCAATTGTAGATTTCATTTGCATTTAGAAATCTCCCATAATTAAATGTGATTAAAAGTATGTCATGCTTGAAGTGCTAAAGGTGCACTATGTAACATTTCTGGTACAGGGGCTACAAGTTGCTTGTTTCCATGGAGATGTTATTGTATTTGCTTGCAATGTTCCAAAGTATGGCATTAAACTTATCAGTCGCTATAGAGACAGGCAAAGGATGCCCCATTTCAATTTACACATGAGATCTGTGAAGAGGCATCCCCACTCATAGTCAGAATGGATATTTTTAAAGGTATTTTTGAGCAATAAAAACACCCATAATTGAATAAATGCATCTTATATAAGTTTAATACCATACTGTGGAACATTGCTAGCCAGGCTGGCGCCACCTAGTGCCTCCGCTCAATTTCATTTCTCTCCAGCGACTAGGTCAGGAATCAGAATACACTAGACGGTTTGCAAAAACCCCGGAAATGTGAGTTTGGGCAACAGCCAATCAGCGAAGAGCCATACAGTGTGTGTTTGCAACGATTCTCGAGATCGAGGATTTAAAGTCGGAACAAAGAGAATGTTTGGTGAATTTCATCAAGGGGAAAGATGTTATTGTCCTTCTTCCTACAGGATTTGTGAATAGCTTATTGTACTAGTTAGCCCCGTTAACGAAGCATTGCATACGTCACAACCAAATAGCAGCGACTGGTTAAATAAAAAAAAGTACCCGCCTACCGTCAAGCGAACCAATTCTAATGCTGTGAGCTCAGACGGTTTCTACGAAGTGAAACCAGCAGATGAATTAGACTAGAACATTACAAGCAAAGCAATATCATCTTCATGGTGATGGACCCCCAATGAGAAAGGTTACACAGTCCACCTTTAAAGTATGTTGGATATAGAATACAACTAGGCCATCATTATCTGTACAAGTACTGTTATTACTTACTTATCTTGAACCTCATCTAGAGGGTGCATTACTGATACTAGGCTAGCCTACTATACAACTACTGCAAATATTACTACTGCTTCTAATATACTCATACAAATCCCAAATACTTTCTATCCTCTTTGCCTTCTTGATCAAAAAACATGTTAATTTCCATATCACAAAATATGAAACAAATCAAAACAAGAAGAGTAATTTTGTACTATGAGACAAAGCAATAATGAAAATGATGGCACATGCTTTGAATTATTTACCCCATAAGGTTGAGTCGAAATTAAAGTACTCAAATTTGCATATAAATTGTCTCATCTTTTGTCAACAAACGCATCCCCATTGTCTCTGATCTCCCTGGCCTCCTCATCTTGTATGAATTTCACAGTCGGGTTATAATTAGTCTGACGAAGGCTGTTATCTCAGTACATAACAATTTATGATTCATCTATTTGATTTCCAGGAAGATGCAGATGGTTAATAAGAGGGTCAAGCAACAGAACTGGATCTGTACGCTCTTGCAAGGCTATTCACTGCTGCCAATGCGTGTCCACTATATAGATTTATGCTCTTTGTGCTATTACAGCCCACTCTCTTCTCAGAAAGACCACCTGCGCAGGGATCTAAGTCTGCTTTTGACAGGCTTGCGTGTCCAAGCCGAGGTATAAAGAAAATAAAATGACAGTTTGGGCCGGCTGTCAAATAAACAGCACTCTGGTTCATTCCCGTGTATTCACTCGAGTGGAGCTTTAAGTCTCAATGTCCATTCTGATTGAATAATTGCACCTAAAACGCCAAAGCTGAGACTAGAAATGATAGAAAAGTCCTGCTTCCCACATTATTTTTGGCTCCCCGTAGTGTCACGAATACTTCCAAAACAAAGAGATGGTCTGTGTCAGTGCCCACGCATATAGAGATTGTAACACATGCAGGTCTAGCTCTTTGTAAGTGTGTATTTAAGCAGCTGTACTCTGTAAACAGTCTCCTGGACAAGCATATTTGGTTTTCTCAATTATACTGTCAGTGCTACAACTCGCTTTGGTTGTCAGCAACAGAAAATATATGTTACAGTGGAGAGTGGTGCCAGCGCTAACAGCCGCTGTGCTAATCCCAGTGTGCAGCAGTGAAAATGGAGTGTGACTGTGCTACGAACAAGAACAGGTCAGGAGGGATGCTGAGGGAGTCACACAAGGCCAGAGGTGGAAAAAGTAAAGTGGCCTGCACAAGAAATATGTGAAAACTCTTGCTCACAGAGGGAATATTTTTGATGAAGTAGTGTAAAACTGTGTATAGAAATAGGCAAATTAAGATTAAATACGTCTTTTTCAATGAATGCCTCTCAGTCAATCTCTATGAAGACAAACACGGGGCCCATTCAGGACAAGTTAAATCTGTACATATGTATAACTGCAAGATAGACAAGATTAATGCCCTGTGTTGAAACATTCCAGACAAAGCAATAACATCATAGAGACAAGCAAGGGGCAGACCCCTCACCAGAAAAGTAAACAGCATTTAACTTTTTGAATTTAAGCAATATGAAACTAATATGAAATGAAGATAATGAAATTTGTCTTCTCTCATTAGTTGATATGAAAACCACTACTGAAAACTATTGTCAGGGGGAGTGTCCTTGGAAGCACAGTGACCTTTTTGTACATGTTTACCCCTATAGCTCCTTTCCTCACTTGATCCTCTCTCTGCAGGACATGAGCGGGGTTATCTCGGATGTCTTAACTAATGAGCCACAACCATTATGTGTGGATTACATCTAACAGGTGCGCTCCACTTAACAACAATTTGGGCCTCAAAGCTTTAAAGCCAGCGGTCCCCTTTGCTTCCCAGAGCCACGCGGGGCCTTGTTTATTGAAGACTGAAGTAATGGTTATTTCAAGCGGGTGGCCATTGACTTGTTAAGATGTAATTCATTTGAGCATGCGTGACCTCTACAGCAGCTCCGGGGGTGGCTTGAGGCTGGGAACAATAATAATAGTGCCAAATTTGGCAGTGAAACAGAGCTCCAAAGGAACTGCAAGAATAACCAGCTGTTAATATGGCTCTATATGGGCGCTTAAAGAAAGAGAACATAATGGCCCTCTGTATCAAAATTTCAAAATAGTTTAACCTAGAGATCTCATTATCTGGGTTGTAATAGTACATTTGGTAGCTATCTATTTTCATTGTTGAATTGCATTAACTGTAGCTGGACTGCAGCAGAGGGTATGTGCTGGCTTCAGTGTTGGCGGGTTTCTGCTAGTGTCTATTGCCATAGTGTGGAACATTCTAAGCAAAGAAATAAGATCTGTATGGAGACTAGCAGGTGCTGTACCAGAAAAGTTACAGAAAGCACCTTTAACTTGTCCTGTTCACCCCTCAGACTGGAAAAAAAAGTTACAAAATAATAAAAGACAGATCAGTTTACCATATAAATGGGATAAAATAGTCCATTAATTAAATTGTAAAAAATAACTCATACCATTCAGCCAAAACATTGTGACTACTGAGACAGGTGTGGAAAACTACACAGATCACCTGAGCAACTGACAGGGCTCAACATCTCAAAAATTGCAGCTTGTGTCTTTCATCTATTATAAAGTGGACCAAAGAAGGAATAGTGAGCAGGTGATGCTACAGTGATTGGAAATTAGGCAAATTGTCAGAATGTTATGGCTCGAACTTATTAGTGCGTGAAAGTTTCATTTTAAATCCCACTATAGAAACCTAGAACTAATATCTCAAGTCCCAATGTCCCTTTAGAGCTGTACATTGTCATCTGAAAAGCCTTTCTGTGAACATGACGTCCCATGATTTGAATGTGTATGAGTGAACTAGAGCATATCAGTGACCAAAGACATGTCATTTTCTTTTCCCTCATGTTTATTAGAAAGAGAACAGCTAAACTCGGCCACCATCTCTCTGTCTGTCCACACTCTTTCTCTGCCTGTGTGCGAGCCACAGGTGTGGCTCTTTCCCAGTAGAAGCCACTGCAGGTATCTGTTACATGGAGGATCCTGCCTTGGCATGTGGCCCACTGAGTTAACTGCATCAAGGTACAATAGCAGCAGTACTGTAATACTTTCTTAGATTATTTTAGTTTATTTATAAAGAAATAAATATATAAAACACATATTTAGAAATAAATATTTTTATACACTTCAAGTAAAGCACAACTTAAATGGTTTACTTAGTTTACATACTTTTTAGGATAGGGTTCTACATGTGTTTTTGCTTATTATTGTAAACAGGATGAATGGTTGTAGGGCAGTTACGTTTACAGGTATGCAGATATCATAAACTGTTATATACAGACAGTATATACATACATATATAACTAAACAATCCAATACAGTACTACAACATTTATAAGTATGGCCTGAATACAGTTTGAGAAAGTTCTAACTCCATCTAGTGGCCCACATGTGAAACTTCTAGATTTTTCTTTCAAGCCTTTTGCTTTTCCAAGCCTCAATGTTTTCAATATCCTTCTCACACGTTTCAGTTGATCATTATTTGTAAAAGTCTCAGCATGAAATAATCAGAATTGATGGATGATCAACATCAAGTGACAGCATACATATAAAAATAAATTTCCTTTTGTGGATTGTTTTTGAAAGGGTTCTTGTTTGACCATGAACCCCTGGGCTATGTTTGTAAAAGACATACTATTACATTCACGCAACCAAAGAGTTGGTCTGTTGTCACAGAATCATGTCAACAGTAATTCTTCATAGGTTATAAATCTACTAACCAAGCCTAGATATGGTTCTGGTCCAAATAGTCCATTTGCATGCACACTCTATCAGCATATTTGACTCTCAAATTAAACTTTACTCACTCCAAAGTTCCTTAAACTAGAACCACAGACAGACAGACAATGAAGATGATGAAGATTAACATATTCAGCATATTCAGGTACATGGTACGTGTGGATCAATGAGGTGATTATCAGATAAACTTTGGTTTCATTACATCATATTAAGATGATGACATGGACCATTTAAGTGTGATCAAACCAAAGTCCACTGAAATATCATGTGTGGAACCTTAGAC